GACAGTTGTATGAACAAAAAGGCTGATGTCAAGCAACTTAGCGTTACCTATTCATACTTCCTAAATTGTGAAAAATTGGAACGTTTAAGTATATCTCCCAATTTTGATTTGTCACAAGAACTAATATAATAATTCAATAGTTAAAATCAACATGTTATAAAAAATATATTTTCTCCCCCTTTTTCTAGCCAGTGTAGGTCTTTGAAAACATAACCAATTTTGCCAACGGTGACTCTAAATTTACACAAAAATAAATTGAAAAAATCCATAATAAATTTCAAAACTTCTCTATTAGATTTTGGACTTGAACGAACGCTCCTCTTAATGCATCGCACATGCGCTGCTTTAGATTGGTAACAGATGAAACAAAAACCACATCCCCTAACTTGAATGCTAATTTATTTGAGCCGTATTCCTTTTGTTCAGAGTTATGAAGTATAAAAAGTAAGTACCCAAAGCTGTAATATATTTGTAAATATATACTATAAGACAAACTCCAAATCTAAACTGTTTCTTTTTGAAGGTGATCCAAAGTGATCCCGGTCAGTAGCCAGGCTTCTGGCAGATCCTGAGGGAGATCAAATATGCAGCGGTTACTCTTTTGAGGAATGTAATATTTGAAGATCATACCTCTTCTTTATACCGAAGCAGCCGCGAGCCGCGCAGGCAGAAGCCTAACTGCCGGGTCACCGCGGCTGCTATGATGATTCCAAAGACATTTTGTTAATCGGATTTGTGAACTGCCTAAGGTTAGTGGACTTGGGAAAAGCTTCCTCTTGTAGACTGTTCCACAATCTCGACACCCTCGGGACAAAGGAGCGGTCGTATCGGCCAGTTCTGGATGTACGAAGTTCGACACGGTTAGGATGGGAGGCTAAAATCAGGCGGGTTTGTCTGGCAGGCACATCGCGCGGCGGCATCATGGAAGAGAGCTCTGACTTGCAAAGCCCGTTTTTGTAGCGGTAGAAGAGAGCTAGATCGCCAACGGCTCGCCGGTGCGAAAGGGTCCCGAGACTGTCTGTTAGAGAAGAGTCATCGATCAGTCGAACAGCCCTCCTCTGGACAGCATCGAGCATAAATAATGTAGTGGGGGCGGCAGCACTCCAAACGTGTGAGCAATACTCTAGGCTATCTGGGCCTTGTATGGAGTGAGAAGGTCATGCGAAGAGAAGTACTTCTTAGCCCCAAACAAATAGCCTAGCTTTTTCAATACCTGTTGGAATCTCGTCATAACTTTTTGTGCCGCCGTTGTCGACCACTGAGGTTCTGAGAATTATAAGAAGTTCAGAGATTACGTGTGATCTAACCAAAAGGCACAGCGCTGAAGGATATTTGCAGACAATAACATTTGTAAGTTTTTATATGACAACCAAAGATGATTTTGTCCAAATTAGTTTCCATACTTCATTTTAAATAAGCTATTCTCAGAGCTGCAGGGTTGATATGCAAAGCTCACTATAATTTCAATGAAAATAAAGCCGCATAGTATTGTTATTGAAGAATTACATGGGTGTCCACAGGGCAGTGTTAGGGAGGCCACGGTCTCTTCTGAGAATCCGCTTTGACTTTAAAATTTGCATATTTACCATGCTTTTGTGTACAACTTTGAGAATTTTTGAGGATTTGTTCCGTCTGAGAAAATTGCTACCTCTGCTCGTCCAAAAATTTCGGGGGCAGGTGCAATTTCACAAAAAGTTACCTCTTGATGCTGATCAACACCCCTCAGAAAAATTCCTGTGGGTACCCATGGACAATAATGTTATTGTTCTAATACAAAAAGAAATCTGTGAATTGTAGTAATATATCAACACAGTTCAATTTTTTCCTAATTTTTTATTTATGCAGATGCCAACAAAGGCTGGAGAATGAAAACATATGGACCATAATAATGTTAATATGATTTGTTTGTAGAAAAATGTATGAGATTTATATAATATACTAAGTGACATATAAATCCGAACACCCAGTTTAAATGGTTTTATTTTAATAAAAGTTGGTGAATGTATTTATCTTATTGTAAATAACAAGTGAAAAAATTTTCAGCCTTATCAGTTAGACATTCCGGTTTTTATACTGCTTTTTTTTAATTCACTAACGCTCTAAAAATGAATATTTCAGCCGCAGTAAAGAATCAACGTTGGCGGATTTTGGTTCTTGACATCCTTTACGATCGGTTACGATGCCTAGAGTACGGAGACCTGTACGATTTCGTCAACTTAGTGAGTTTGATAGGGGCCGTATAGTGGAACTTCGGGAAGCTGGACTTTCTTTTCGGGCAATTGCAGTTAGAGTGCAAAGAAGTGTAGACACTGTGGTTAGGTGTTGTCAGGCATGACTTCGAGAAGGCCGTAAGCAAAGAGCAAGCGGCACTGGACGCCGCCGTAGAACAACAGACCGTGAAGATCGCCGCCTAAGATTATTGGCCTTAAGGAACTGTTTCTCCACTACCAGGTCCATTGCAAATGAATGGTTTGCAGAACACGGAAGACCTATTGGCATGCGAAGTGTTTACCGACGAATGAGAAGTTTTGGCTTGTTTTCATACCGGCCACACTGGGTCCTCCCTTTAACTCGAGAACACCGACGTAATCGCCTTGAGTGGTGCAGACAACGGTCTCTCTGGGATCAAGAATGGAACAGTATTGTCTTTAGCGACGAGTCTCGATTTTGTTTAGGCATGCACGATGGTCGTGCCAGGGTTAGAAGGCGACGTGGTGAAAGGAGGAATCCACAGTTTTTTGTTGAAAGACATGTTCATCACACTGTTGGAGTTATGGTTTGGTGTGCTATAGCTTATGGTTCCAGGTCACCTTTAATCTTCATCAGAGGTAACATGAACGCGCAGCGTTATATTCACGAAGTTCTAGAACCCCATATTTTACCCTATCTTGACACCCTGGCAGATCCGACTTTCCAACAAGATAATGCCCGACCACATGTTGCAAGAGTCACAATAGACTTCTTTCAACATAATGATGTCACATTGTTACCATGGCCACCAAATTCTCCCGACTCATCCCCAATTGATATGATGGGTAGGAGATTGCTCAATTTGCAACGTCCTCCTCAGACTCTAGAAGCACTTCGAGAGGAGTTGGTGGTTGCCTGGAATGAGATACCACAGGAGGACATTGACCACCTGATCAGAAGCATGCCTAGGTGCGTTGGAGAATGCGTAGCACATCAGGGTGCATCCACACATTATTAAAGGTCAAAGGGCTTTAAAGCAGTGCAATCATTTTGAAATTTTTATCATTTTCTTATTATGCTTCATTAAGTACTTATACAAAATTTTATTAAAATAAAACCATTTAAACTGGGTGTTCGGATTTATATGTCACTTAGTATAAATATAATATATTTATATTATACTTTGCTGGCTCATTTCAACTACAACATATGGATTTTTTCTTTTTGATGTCCTGACGAGACTGAACCATTGATCTGGAGTGTATACTGGAATATTTCGAGCGACCTTCTCAATAACGCTGTGAACAGAATCACCTTCATTTTGTGTGTGGCCCCGCTCTAAGAAGGTGTGGCAAATTTTGATTGAATATTTTTGTGCCAGATAATTATAAAGAGAAAACAAAAATTTGTTCTTGTTCTGCCCTGGGCAGTTATCGGAAAAAAATGAAAATTCTTTGATTCCTTTTCGCACATGTTGTTCAATAAAAAGCGTAAGACCACTACCAATTTACGACGACCCTCTTTTTCCTACGCATTCATGCCACATGTAGCAAAATGCCTCCTTTGATGCCAAATTGAAAACTGTGAAATTGAATGTCGATAATTTTAATTTATAATAGGCGACGCCGACCTCTGTCTTGCTGTCTTGGGTACTGGCAATACTTGCTGCAAGTCGAATACTGCTGCACAAAATGAAGGGTTTGCTTTAGCTTTCTCTTTATCAGCATTCTTAAGACTTCGAGCTAAGTTCTTGTTTTCTATATGCTGTTGATATGCTTGCTCCATTCTAACTTTTTCGTCAGTCAACCTGTTTTCGTAGCTGTGACAAACGTCACAGAGGTCTTTCTTCGGCAGAAAGAAAGAAATGTTGAATTCGGTTGTGAAAATGTGTCTATACATACTTTCTGTAGCTCTCCTTTCAATGTTATTATCTAGACAGAATTCTTCATACAGAGCATACATTTTACAAACATTTAGTGTTGGAGGTAAGTATTTTCGCTCCGTTTTCTGTCTGCAGTAATGGCTATCAATGGTTTCAAACAACATGATGTGGTTACGAACTGATTGTTTCACTGACTCGTCCAACATGGAATTTTTACAGGCTTTACCTCTTTGATCTTCCTTGATATATCCAGCAGAATTCATTTTGTTAAAAACTGTTCGAACTGTTTGGGCACTAATACATAGAGTATTCAAAAAAAATGTTTTGCAGACTTGGATCTTTGATGTTTCAGTTTGTAAATGGTAAACGAAACTAAAACTTCTTCTACTATTATTCTCAATTTCATCTTGCTCCTCGTTATTTTTAGTTTTACGTTGTCGACACCTCGCCTTTGGATTACATTGCACATATTTTGATATATAATCTCTTTGACGACTTATATCTTTCAAATCCCAAAAAGTTTTAAAAATTATATTTCTTTGTTCTTCGTTCATTCTTTGAAAACATTTTAATCTACAGTTATTACACGCCTCTTTAATTCTTCTCTCTGGTCTTTTTTTACCTTTCCAATCCGTATAAGCTTTTCCACTATTTCTCAATCTCTTGATTTTATTTCTTTGCCAATTATCCGAATTCGGAAGACGCTTACGCACTCTTCTTTTTTCTTGTGGATCCGACCTTGACGTTGAATGATCAGAAATAGAATCTTGCAACTTTAGTTTTTTTTTAATTTCAAAATCAGGGTCTTCATCTAAATTATCTCCCCCAAAAGGATCGCTTTCCGAAGAAGATATACTCAAATCTTCATCCAGAGTATTTGAAATTTTAGGTATACCCACTACAGTAGAATCAGTCAAGTTTGTTGTATTTAATGTACTGGGAATAGGACGTCCATTTTGCTTTGCTGCCGTCTCTTCCAAAATATCCTGAAATTCAAAACGTACAATATGTATTTTAGATATTTACTACTTAACTAGCATTTTTAGCCATATTTTCAAATGCTAAATTTAAAAGCTGGTGATTTCGGGCAGGTATTGTTCCAACGGAAAAAGCAAGTCACGATATAAAACAAAACAACAAAAATCCTATCTATACTTCACTATTTGCTTACCGGTTGAGATTCGGCAACACTTAAGGTATATGATGCGCTGGGTAGGGTATTTTCTTTTTGGATGTTTAACACCTGAACCGACAACGTGTGCGTCATACCACCAACATTTTTATTTAAGGCAGGAATGGAAGCCAATATACACCTATTATCACACGTCGGGCTTTTTTCACCTAAAGCAAAAAACAAAATTTAATTTGTTGTTTGAGAATTCAAAAATGAAAAAGGCCGAATGTTTGCTTATGTTGTGCTTACATTGGGAGGCAAATGATTGACAAAACTGTGTATTGTCAAGTAATATTGAAGTCCAAATGGAATCATCTCGTATTGAAGATGTTTCATTTGCTAGTAAATAGGTAGGAGGCTGCTGATTGGAGGAATAATCCATCAAATAAGACCCATCTTTTATAGTCGGTTTTTCCAATTTTTTAACATTTAGCATTTGTAGAGGTACCCTTTTTGCAGGACTTTTGTGGGCATCTAAAATATATTCAATAAATAAAAAAAAAACATTTAATGGAAAATAATGATACTTGAGAACTTAAAATATATAAAATTAAAAATTACTGTATTAAAGAGCTTTCAGCTATAATTATTTTGTATTCGTTGCTTTGAAATGATATCAAAATTCGAAATAACTTACCTGCAGATTTGTCTTTTTTAATTAAATCATGAATTTTTTGTCCTCTTGATGGTATCATTTTTCTCTTGACTCTTCAAATATTATTTCACGTATTTTTATTTAAACGTAAACAAGTCTATGTCTACAAACCGGTATTCTAAGTATTCGATCCCAAGTCAGAATTAGTCTATGTAAATAAAAAATAATATCCTATGTCACACAAATATTAAGTCAGAACTATTCTATGTCCACAAAAGACAATTCTAAGTGAACGGTAACACGTCAGAACTAGTCTATGTCCTCTGTCTTACCCGCGACAATTAATCGACGTGCACACCGCCGTAGTTGACATAGTTCTGCTCTCAGCTGAACTTTATTTGGAAAGATAGGTTCATTTTTCATTCGGCAATTTCCGGGGCTAGTCGTACGCATGGACATAGAATACTTTTGCAGCAGAAAGCGCAGCTCTTATAATGTACATAGGAATCAAAAAACGAAAATGGACATTTTTGGACATAGAATAGTTCTGCTCTAAGGGGACGATATATATTTAGGTATTTGCAGTATATGTTTTTCTTCTGAACCTTTCCAGATTAGTAAGTAGATATGAGTGATCTTATAACAGCTTGTGTCATTGACGTTGCTATCTTAACATACAAAAAGCACTTATTCGTCAAGATATCGCAAAATGTTGATAACACATGCTGTTATAAGATCTCCCATATCTCACCATTTTTCTATATATAAAAGTATAGCAATCTCATATGTATATGTAGAGCTGGCAACGTTGCGGGGTATTATTGCACAATCTGGTAACCATGTCGCACCCTCAAAAAATGGCCGCTGACAACCACACAAGTCACCGTGATGCCATTGAATAGCATGGAATTAAACCTTCTTCAGTGTACATGTTTTGTGCTTTTGACCACGTTAACATTTTGAGGTTATTCCAAGATGTGACATATAAAAGTCCTTAAAAAATATCCTTTATTTAATTAATGTTTGTCCGAATCCATTTGTGTTTTATCAGTAAAAAATAGTGATGTTTTGCATCGTTTTCCAAAAAAGATCCTCATGAATCCAGTTATTGACATTCCTACCCTGTTTACGTACTCGTACACATTTTATAAAATCAAATTCTAGCACCAATATCACCGACGGAGTAAGAAAAAAAATTTCAATCAATGGTTGCTATTTATTATTTTTAATTTTTTTTTAGCTTCTGATGATGACAGCATAGACTATCGAAAGCTTGAGTTGTAAGTCAGAAGCGTCCACTTAGCAGAATTTGTCGGTTTCCCCAAATACGAGTCTTCCATTCAACAAGTTAGGTCAGCCTTTTATTGGGTACTTCGACAAAATTGAACCAATGGGTACTCATTTTACTTTATTTTCTCAAGCTTTCGATGAACTTTGACATCATCATCAGGAGCTACAAAACATTTGAAATATAGCAACTATAATCTATCCAACTAACGTACGGAGTAATAAAACAAGTGACAAGACAGCCCGATTTACACCGGACAACTACCTGCAAAACCGATAATGCGTTATCGCCAGTGGCGTGTAGGTTTTAAAATTAATTGAGGTAGGTACCATTTAATTTATTTTCACTGTTTCTTCTGTCTTTTCATTGCTTTCAAGGTGCTATAAGGTTTATTAAATTGATATATGAAATATGCTTCCCCAGTTTATGATTCGTTACATATTTTTTATATTACAAAATAATTTTAATACATGGAAAAAAATACAGAAAAGGGCTCCAAAATTAAATTCTTTTTAATAGACTGGATTCTGAATGTTTTTAATATAATACCTAATAATGAATCTACCTGCATTCATTACCACGTTTATTTCGACGCCTCTATCCGGATAGACTTTAAAGTCGATTATCCCAATCATGTGTAATCCTGACCGTTTATTTCGGCAATCCACATGTCAAACCAAAAATGATAACGTCAAAATCTTGAACAGAGGGTTCCTTCGAAATTAGCGGTCAGGATTAACACAGGATTGGGATAACCTACTTTAAAGTCTATCCGGATAGACCCGTAGAAATAAACATGTTAATTATATAAGTATGTTTAGGGATATAGGTACAAATTACATTTATTTACTAATCAGTATAATCTGAAGATTATGAATCGTTTCCTAACTTAACAATCACTTGTTGAACCACTCTTTCCATACATTGGTCAGTTGTCCACATTTTTTCTTCCTCCTTCTCAACATGTTCGATTGCTTTTTTACAATTTTTCGGAGTTACATTTTGTACCGCGGTGTAAAAAAGCTGCTTTGCATCTGCGATCTTGAAAATTGTATTATTTCTGGAAACTTCGTTTTTAATTTGCGCCCAAATTGAGTCGACTGGGTCAGGAGGCAGGCGCAAAATAGTCCTACTGGTAGATTTAGCCATTTCGTCGATGACATATTTGTCAGCACTTTTATTGCCCTTGACCAGATTCAAAAGTTCTGCTTTGACCATATCGTCAAAGAGAACATTATGCCTTCGTAGCCATTCCTGTGTTTCCTCTTTTGTTTCCACTGTTTGGTGCTTTATCAATACGCCTACTATAGTATGAAGCATTGTCCATAAAAATGACATCGTTATCTTCTAGATGGCTTATAATATTTTCTTCAAATAAATTGGCATTCATATTGGCGTGGTAGTCTCCTGCTTGTTTTGATTCAAATACCAATAGTCCGTCTTCCTCGAAGCCATTATCAGATCCGATATGTAAGATAATTAGCCGTTTTCCTTTACCTGAAGGATTTTTTGCTGAGTGTGCCCTGCATTGAGCCAAGTCTCGTCTAGGTAGTATATTTTCGTGCATACTTCTCTATACCTCCAGATTTCGCGTAAGTATCTACGTCTCCAACATATTATCTCGTCCTTTTCTTTCAAGATGCTATTTCGCTTCCTTCCTACAAAACTAAAAATTACATTAAATCTTTAAATTCGTTAATTCAAGGAACCATACGAATAACGAATTTCAGTTGATTCATCTTAACAAAACTGCAAATTTAGTTTAGTCAAAGTATAGATAAAGAATGATAATAAACATGAAAAAACTCCAACCTATTTTTGTGTGTGAACATTTTACGGATTGTTTTAGCTTTGTATTTTACTTTCAAGGAGAAATAAAAAACAAAATAAGTTTTTTGTTCAACACTTACCGAAAATTAAGTTCCTTCATCAATGTAGCCAACGTCGATCTTTTGAAGTCTGGCAAGTCGTCGTCGTCGTTTATTGATAACAAAATTTTGTCCAATGTGGGTGGTTCGTTTCCGAAGAAAAATTCGTGGATTTTACTTCTGATTAATGCCTTATTTTTTGTGCTCTGCCAAAATTTTATATACACTACTAGTGATGCTCCTGAATTCAAATTAATACATTTTGCATATATTATATAGGGTGATTCAAATTCGGTTTCCTCGTTAAAAGTATTTAAAAAAAAGAAGTACTTGAAAATTATAAAAAATATGTATTTGTCCTTTCATGGTAGTTCATTACAATTATGCATAAAAGATGATATCAAGTAAGTGACCGCCGCGACTCATGTGGCATGACGTAATCCTTTCCGAGAAATTTTCGACTACTCTGTGGCACAAATCAGGTCTTATGTTGGTAATTTCGCGTCTGATCTCCTGTTTCAGCTCCGCAATTGTGTTCGGGTTATTCTTGTAGAGTGCTCTTGAGATACCCCCAAAGAAAATAATATAAGGGAGTTAAATCACAGGATTGCGGCTGCCAATTAATATCGCCGTTACGTGAAATAACGCGACCTGGAAATCTTGCCGCGCAGTAATTGTATAGTTTCTTCTGATGTGTGACCTAGGCTTCAATTCCTGTGTTATTTGGACTCTGTATGGGTGTAATTTCAAATCTTTTATTAAAATCAGCTGTGGAGTGGAATAGGTAAGGTCCAGTTGCCGCGATCGATGACGAATCAATGTTCTTGGATCTTCGGCCACACGTTCGGCAACAATAGCAATATTGTGATCCGACCGACCTCTATGAGCATGCCTAGGGGTTTTGATGTTAGCGACGGATACAGTTTGCTCGAATTTTTGCACCAAATTCCAAATTGTTCTCTCACAAGGCCGATTTTGTGAGCCAAAAGATTCATGCAAAGCACGAAATGTATGCTTCCTTGATCAGCCGTTTTCATTATAGGCTTGGATAATTTTAACACGTTGCTCCATGACTGTTTTGTTTACATTTGGACGTTAGAAATGGCACGTTGTCGTTGACAAATTCAGTAGCGTTTCAAAAAAAATATTTGTAATCTGGAAACTCAATTTGAATCACCCATTAGATACGTGCATTAATAAATAATTGAAAATAAGTTTAAAAAATGTGTGCAATAGAAGTAGCTATCATATTAGTGGGTAAGATATTTAACAGAAAATAACTATTATTTAGAATAATACATCAAACTACAAAACATTTTAAATTATACTTCAAAGCTCACTCACTTGATGCTCTTGAAACAAACAAACTCTGAGTTTCATTTAGATAGCGTTGCCGAGAAGCTATATAAATATTTATAATAGTTTCTTTTTCAGAAACCGACAAAGCTCTTTATGTCCTTTTTCTTGGTAATTGGCCCATGTCGAAATATCCTTTTAAAAGTTGTCTAACAATAATAAATGAAGCAAACAAAAAAATTCAACCGCACGTCACAGACCTTCGGAAAGAACTAAAGTGCTATTGTGAACTTGGCGTCTTATCTCCCGAAAACGGACCAATAGGAACGAGGCGCGTGCCGGTTAGATGATTTATTACTCCGTAGGTTCGCTTGATTGATTTTAAACTACTTACAACAGTGTAGGTGAGATGGTTGCTAAATGTTATTATTAACTAAGTTAATGAGAACATTCAGTAGCCTGATGAAAGCTGGATCCATGGTAACAGTCGTTAAAATTTGTAAAATACTCACAGCTATGTGTCAGAAAAACATCACAACGAATTAAAAACGTGAAGATTTATTGTTCAAATTTTCGATATTCATCGTGAGAAGCAATCTTGCTTCTTAACAAAATGGTGCACGGGACAAAACAAGAAGAAACATGAAGGTTGACAGGTGACTGTCAGACTGTTGCCAAATTTACTTGAAAAGATGTAATTTTTCAAATCAATGTCAACCAAAAATATTTTAACAAAAATCTGAAGCAGCAGAAAAAAC